TTCGCGGGCCAAATGTAATGGGCCACAGTTTGACACCTATGATCTACAATGACTGAAGTCCTCACCCTATCACTAAGCTTGTGACCAAAGGTGAGTATAAGAACATAGACGTATCCAGTACAGTATCCACATCACCCCAATAAGTTTGTCAACTCTTTTACCTCCATTTCCCAAGGCTGTGCTTTGTATAGGTAAGGTAGTACCACTTTTACATATACAAGCAGACAGGCTATAGCAGACAGCTCTCACGTTGGTAATTTGAGTCGCTGAACATAACCGTACATACCTGCTGTCATTACGTGATAACTTAGCAGCCCACAAATCTGACCAAATACAGTTACTTCTGGCTCCAAAGAGCCAACATGGCAGCAGCCAAAACACACAGACAATATACATATATTTAAAAAAGGATGTAGCTTAGGTATGCAAGTAATAAACCTTCATACCTGTGGTTCCAAAAAGACTTCTGTCCCATAGAAGTGACGACGATGAACTTGACCTCTGTAAACACTTTAGTGATGAGTTTATTCATTGGGTCACGTCTTCCAGGTCACAGTTTACTAAATTTTAGTCATTGTAGGTATTAGAGATATAGAGATATATGAAAATGAGTTCAAAACTAATGGGTAATGCCAAGGTGCCTATAGAGTACATGGTCTGAACCAACTAGGACCGAAACTTTTAAATTTATCATACAATAAGCAATCACCAACATTTGTGTATGTGTATTCAGGAGGGGCTTTTTGGGTCCGCTGCTTAGCCAGTCACAAACAGAACTTCCATCATCTCTCATGCTTGTACTTTTTGGTCGTTAGAAAAAAAACAAAAAAAAACAAAAGAAAAAACACACACACACAAACCATTGTATAGCCTTCAAGCACACAAAAACTGCATACACACCAAGGTTCCACACAAATGCACAGAGTGGCACGTCTTGGCCCTGCAACAGAGCAGGCAATAATTACTCATTCAAATGAACATGTCAGGACTGCCGACAGACAAGCCCTTCCCCCCACCACACACACCCTTCACACATCAGACAAAAACACACTTGCCACAGATGCAAGCGCACATACACAAGCATATACACACACTTCATGTTGCAGTGTGGGAGAGATCCATCAACGGCCCAGCAGGCAGACAGGCTCCATACGGTAGCGCTGTTCTAAGCTGGTCCTCACTGTACGCCTGCCATGTATCAGCTCGCCAACACAGACACACACACACACACGCCCATGCATTAGCATCTCTCTCCTCACATTCTCTGTCGCTGGTGTTTCCTCTCTCTGATTGACATAACGCATTTCACAGCTCCTTTTTTGTCACTCTCCAAACATATCCTCACTCCTGAGGTCTAAAAGTCAAACTGGTCTTTACAAAAGTGCACATCAAAGTGGCACAAAGGACGTGCAATGTTGAGATACAGAGTGCCACCGTATTTTTTTT